GGGGCAAGAAGGGCGTCTTGATTGGCATGGCCGGGGGCGCCAAGGACGTCTTCACTCGCAACTTTGAGACGTTGACCGTTTATGATATCGAGAGCTCAGAGTGGTTCCACCAGGAAGCCACGGGCGATATTCCCGGTGTGCGTGTCAACCCCTGCGCCGTCATCGCAAGTTCACCGGATGCATCGAGCTTCCAGATATACATGTTTGGCGGGCAGAACTTGCAGCCCTTTGTGAGGCCCCTTTGTGATCGATCCTTCTATGATCATGCTAATGCGATGACAGCAAGAGCAGACGCAATACGACGACATGTATATCCTCACGATCCCATCCTTTACATGGATCAAAGCCGATCCGGATTCAAAGTATGCTCCTAGCGGCCGCGCGGGACACACGTGCACCATGCGAGACGGACAGATTATTGTGGTCGGGGGCTACACTGGCGAAAACCAGCCTTGCGATGACCCTGGAATCTACGTCTTCAATGCTTCTTCTCTCAAGTGGACCAACGAGTTCAAGGCGGGTGATCACGACGCCGACCACCATCCTGACAACAGTGTCCTCGCGGGCTCATGGGGATACTCGGTTCCTGACAAAGTACAAAAGGCGATCGGCGGTGACGAGGACGGCGGCGCTACCGCCACGGAACCCGACTCGGGGCCTGCAACAGGCGGTCCCTTTGCGACAGGCCAGGCGCCCGTGTTCACGATCACCCAGGGGGGTTCCACCACAACAATCACCCCGTCCTCCCAGCCTGATTCCAACGACGGAGAGCATGAGAGCCCGCCAACGGCCGACAATAGCAGCGGCGGCCCAAATCCGGGCCTGATCGCGGCCGGTGTCATCGCCGGCGTCCTCGGTGCACTCGCCCTCTACCTCGGATTCTGCACCTGGCTGTACCGTCGCCAGGTAGCCGCCTACAAGCAGCACATTGCGACCACGAACCGGTACTCGGGCGCCTCGGCCGATGCCTTTGCCCCCGCGGGTCTCTTCTCGCGGCGACAGGAACGGCCCGTGTCAGCGGACAGCGAGAGCTTTGGCTGGGTGGGCTCGGAGCGAGGGCGACCCGCGCCCTTCTTGACGGCCGAGCAGAGATGGCTCTCCGACGAGCCCACGCCGAGTGCTGGGAGCGGGAGCGGCACGGTGAAGAAGAGTGAGGAACGCACGAGCGGCAGCGGCAATGAGAGCACGGAGAACCTGCTCGAGGGGCGGGAGCCGAGCTTCTTTAGTGTGGTCATGGGCCCGCGCCGGGCGCTGCGGGTGGTCAATGGCATGGACTGATGGATGATGATGAAGCGATGATAAACGACGACATATTGTTTTGTTATTATGGTGTTTCTTTGTTTATCTTTTTTACTCTCGCTCTAGATACCCATTCGATCGATATAAAGTCAAGTAATATTTCCAATGTTCTGAAATGTCTGAACATGTGTCCCGTGAACTCCTGGCGTGCTTGTCGCGATGCAGCAGAAAAGGATGATGCGCAATCAGTCGTGTGTATTCATGTCATGATAGCTTCTCGAGCTGCTCCTCCGGCACCGTCCGAACAAAGGCGTGGTCGAGGAAGTGAAGCCAGGCCTTGTTCTTCTTGTGCTTGGACTTTTTGTGTTTCTTCTTGCCCTTGCGCAAAGGCTGCAGAGCGTCGTCTTCTTCAACGTCTGCGTCTTCTTCGACATCCGTGTCGTCTTCGAAATCAATGTCTTCGTCGTCTTCATCCATATCTTCGTCTTCATCTTCGTCGTTCTCATCGTCAAAATAGTCCATGTCGTACTCAACATTGTCCTCCTCTTCAGTGCCATCCCACAGCGCCTTGCCTTTGCCCTTGTTCTTCTTCTTCTTGTGCTTCTTTTTCTTCTCTCTCTTTCCAATGCGGTGCGCTAATTTCAGATAGTTGACGACCGTCAAGTCATCTAGCTTGTAGACCTCGTCGTTAAAGGTGCTGTACTCGACCTCGAACTTGAAGGGCCGGGGCTTGGGCTTGCTAAACTGGGGCTCGTCGTCCTCGTGGTCTCCATCACGCCACTTGTTGCTGTCGGCGTCCGGGGCGGCGATGTCGTTGTTGATGTGTGTCAGATTTGCGAAGTACTGCGTGTAGCCCGTGAAGGTGAGAGGCTGGGGATAGTACGCCGGGCCGGGCGTCGAGCCCTTGGGAGGGTCCTCGGGGAGATGCAGATTCGGGTCTTTCGACTTGTTTGGCTTCTTGTGCTTCTTCTTCTTCTTTTTCTTTCGCTCAGCCTGGAGGTCGTCTCGAAGCTGCCTGACGTCTTGGCTACTCAGTTCGTCGTCGGACCATTCGTCGTCCACCGACAAGGGCTTGTACGCCGTTTCATCAAAGGTGTCGGTCCACACCGCCGCATCTTGCAGGCCTGTGATGTTGTACTCGATGATCCGCATCGTCGGGAAGTAATTGGGCACGATGCTGGGGCTCACAAAGGACAAGATGTACCTTTCGGCATACTTGCCCCCGATTTTCTGGGACTTGTCCTTCTTCTTCTTCTTGTGCTTCTTTTTCTTGCCTTTTTTCCGGGAAGTATCAATGTTTTGGCTCTCGGAGTCGACATCGGCCTCCATCAAGGACTTGAGTGCATCTGCGGGAATTTTCCACCATCCTTTCCGAAGATCTTGGAGGTAGTCTTCTTTCGAGGCCACCGATACCTCGTCGTCCAGGGCGTCATCGTCATCGACATCGACATCGACATCGTCCTCTTCAGTCACATCCGAGTCATCGTCTTCCTCGGAAAGCTCTTGGGCATTGATGGCCAAGTCCGCCTCCCTGGTGTCCTGGAGCAGGAAATGGTCAATGTTCATGTGACCATACAGAGAGCCGGTTACCACATCTCGATACTTGTGCAACCACAATGTATACTTCTGCCAGCATGTCTCGTCCCATAGTTTCTTGCTCGAGGTTCTCGCGGGCGGCACATGGCCGATGAGGATGGCCTTCATGCCCCGCTGGCGGAAGAGCTCGAGTTGGACGCGCAGCCACTCCATATGCTGATAGCCAGGCTCGGTGGGGCTGGCGCAGCCGTCGACACCGGCATTGCGATCGAAGAAGTACATGGTGTTCAGACTGAAGACGGCCAGCTTCTGGGGAACGACCTCTGACCAGAACCAGCCACCAAACTCAAAGGAGTGGCGCTGCTCCTCGGGGATGAAGCGCCTCCAGATGTCGCTGTACTTGCGCAGCCATCGATTTGGCCCTGGGTAGAAGATATTGTGCGGTAAGAAGTCGTTGTTTCCCCACGTTGGCACCACGGGGATCTGCATGCGCCCGTGACTCGATCCGAATGTGTCGACGAACTTATCGGCCATCATCTGATTCGTGCTCAACACCTCGGCGGCGCTTCTGGGAAACTTCTCGTCGCTGTCATGGCGGGCCGAGTCGCCTGTCCAGACCACGAAATCGACGTCATCGCGGATGTTATCTTGGATCCAATCGAATGTCGCATTGACGAGCGAGAATGGCGAGTCGCAGTCCGTCGTCTCGGCGCCGTACGCTCCGGCGAGACCCTTTTTGCGATGGCATGCCAGTCCCGCTTCGGTCGACGAGTGTGCCTTGTAGTGTTGGTCTGGATGGAAATCTGCAGGGTCCCACAGTTAGCGGTCCGTCGTATCGCATGACGCAGGTCCAGAACCTAATCATGCAGCAGCAGCACACCAGCTTCGGCATGCTTGTGGTGCAGGGAAGACGAAATGCGGTCTCAAGGCCATAACGAGGAATTGGTGCGTACCTGTGATGTGCAAGAACTTGCCCGTGAGTTTACGGTGTTGTTCTTCTGCTTGGGGCCTCCGTAGCACAGATTGCGAGTCGTCTGCTAGAGGCGACGCTGCAGCGATCTGGCTGGAGAAGGTTGCTGACAGCAGTAACAGGTGCGACCAGCGTGCTGTGGGCAACATGTTGGTCGCTCTGTGTGTCGCCAGAATATTTCGAGACGGCTAGCGTTGGTGGTGTCTCGCGCCGCGACCTGGTCGAGACATGAGAAGCGAAAGTGATGTCGAGAGGGACTGAGTGAATGGGTGAGTAAGTAATCAGTGAATTGAGGATTGAGGCGGAATGGTGGCCACTGAAAAGAAGACCGGAGCTTCACTAAATAAAACGACGACGTCAGCACAGGCACTGAACCAGGGGTTTAACTCAATTCGCAGATCCCGTAGACGGGCATCCCGCCCTCCCCCGGGGACAAAGTGGATCCAGTCAATGCAGTTAGCGGAATTTTCCAGCGAGCAGGCGCTGGACACGTGCCTGCCAGGCTGTCAAGACCGCTGTGGCCGTACGTCAGGCACCCACGAAGCGGATGGATGTAGCCAACGGAAGAGCACTAGGTAGCTTAGAAGGAAGGAAGCTACTTACACACGAAGCTGGCTGAGATTCCTGGTAAAGCACACAAAGATCGAGTAATCCAGAAAAGAGCGGCTTTATGGTCTTTTGAGAGAATCCCCATTGTACTGGCATGCATCCAAGACCCCATGGCCCCGCTCATCCGTCTGTTTGCTCACGCGCCCCCCGCGACTCGTCGTTGTCTCCCACAGCCAATCTCAACAGTGATGCCGTACACGTGCAGTGGCGAGGCGGCAATCTGGCAAAGCACTGTTTGCCTACGGCAGGCTCGGTGGCTCACGCGGCACCCTGATGGCTCGATAATGGGGGTAAGTGCCGAATTCCGCGACGCACTGTGAAGAATGCCTGCCTGCACGTGACCAAGGAACTAGACACGTGAGTGAGGCATCAGCAGGAAGACTCCCGGCAACGGCAACAAATTGCATCCAAATACCGTCAAGTCACGCGAACGGGCCGTGTTCGATATACGTTCCATTGTGGCGCAGACACATGTTTATCGTTGTAATGATGGCTCCTGGTGCGCAGTTTGTGTCTGAATTGGTGACCTCATCCTGCCCCCCGTTCCCCAGCCTATTGTTACCTTACCTACTCCACACTTACTTCACATGTCAGAATCCAGATTCAACATCCGGCCCGCCATGACGGGAAACCCGCGACATTTATTTCAATCGGCATCAAAAAAGCACACGACAGCTTGCTTAATTTAAGTCCATTTCACCCCTAGGACCACGCCTCCTCACGCAAAGAACGCCCAAGGCATACCTCATCCCGAAAACCCGCACAGAAGAAGTCCCAAAGTCGATGATGAGCTGAGACGCCAGCATCGCATTGGGCAATAATTTACACAACCGACTTCCCCACACAGGGATCGAGCAGATGTCCTGCCTTCTTCCTCGGCAACAATGGGCCTCGTCCTCGCCGTGTGGAGGGTCGTTGTCGACGTAGCCAGCTTCTGGCGCAAGGTACGTCCGTTCTGTTCCAGTGCCACCCCTCGTCCTCGGCACCAGCATCTCTACTCCCACCATGCGCCGCCATGCCCAAGCTCCTGCTGACCCCGTACCAGAAACTTCTTTCTTGGTATTCGAGCCGCAACCCCGTCGACCTATGGCTGCATCTCCTGCGCGAGGCCACCACCTACGAAGAGTGGGAGGAGGCGTCTCTCCATCTCGACAACCTCCTCGGCCTCGACCTATGGCGCAACAACCCAACATCAAAGTACTATGACTGGAGGCTCCTCACGTCTCGCCTGCACTCCCTGATCGAAGCGCGAGAGGAGGGTGACTTTACGACACTGGTCAACCTCCTTCGATCGGGTCTCGTCCGGAACCTGGGCAACATCACCAGCCCCAAACTGTACAACCGCGCTCTTTCGGGTACCAAATACCTCATCGAGGAGTACATCACGCAGGTCGCCGAATCGATCGAGGAGATATCGACGCTGCCCACAAGCCACATTAATGGCTACCCCACTGGGGACACGGTCCTCACCAACCAGATGAAACTGGATTTCATACACGATACCCGACAAGCATTCGGCCGGAGCACGCTCGTCCTGCAGAGCGGCGCCATGTTTGGCCTCTGCCATCTCGGCGTCGTCAAAGCTCTGTTCTTGAGAGGGCTGCTGCCGCGCATCATCACCGGCACGGCGACAGGCGCCCTGGTGGCCGCGCTGGTGGCCATTCATACCACGGAGGAGATGCCAGCTGTGCTCAAGGGAGAAGGGATCGATTTGTCTGCCTTTGCGTCAGTGCTGAGCGCCGCCGGAGCTGCTGAGCGAAAGGGCCTGCGGTCGAGGTGGGATACACTCACGAGGAGGGTCAGACGCTTCGTCCGTGAGGGATACTTCTTCGACGTCAAGGTCTTGGAGGACTGCGTCCGAGCCAACGTTGGCAACTTGACCTTTGAGGAAGCATACAATCGCAGCAAGAGGGTGCTCAACATCACGGTGGCCACGGGGAGTCACGGCGGTGTGCCTACGCTGCTCAACTACCTGACAGCACCCAACGTCGTAAGTGACACACCAACGCGCCCTGAGAAGGTGGAATCTAACGTGTGCAGCTCATCTGGACGGCGGCCGTTGCCTCGAATGCATCATCGCCAACTCTCTATGGCGCGGGCAAGACGACCCTCCTGTGCAAGGACCTTGACGGAAACATTGTGCCATGGGCTCCCGCGAACATGGCCGACTTCCACCACTGGACGCACATCTCCTACAACGACCGTGACTCGCCTCTGCGACGCATCGCCGAGCTGTTCAACGTGAACCACTTCATCGTGAGTCAAGCGAGACCGTACCTCATTCCGTTCCTCCAATCAGACATGCATGGCCCTGCGGTTCTCGAATCGAAAAGCTGGACCACCCAGCTGTCCGCCCTCATGATCCGCGTGGTGGGCCTGGAGATTCGGCATCGTCTGCGTCAGCTCGATACGCTGCGTCTACTTCCCGCGAGTATCCGGCGTTTCTTGGTCGACGAGCAAATCCCCGCCGCGTCCATGACCTTGGCGCCCGAAGTGACGGCATCCGATTTCATCCGTCTCCTCGAGACACCGACCCGCGAGACGGTCAACTACTGGATACTCAGGGGGGAGAGGAGTGTGTGGCCGGCCGTGGCGGCGCTACGGATACGCTGCGCCGTTGAGAATGAGTTGGACCGGTCGTATCAGGTCGTGCGCAAGCTCAAGGCGGGTGGGCTCAGGCGCAAAGGCAGTATGCCCGGGACTATTGAGCCTGCCCAGTGAACAAATCAAAACTGTAGGATTGTTCTTTTATCTCTTGCGTGTTCATATTGGGTCCGGCCAGAACGACTCATAATCTCGGTGGAATTGTTGTCGGATGCATTATACATCCATGATTCTTCTGTCATCTATAGTGCATGCTGGCCCACGACATCCGGCCATCAGTGTCATCTGACGATACTAGGAAGGTTTGGTGGCGGCGCTTAACCCTCAGAGTCTTGGGGCTTGTCCAGGCTCCGGTCGAACTCTCGTCGGCGGTAGTGGTCTTTCTGGTCATTCAAAAAAGCCCTCGCACACGTCGGTTCATTAAGCTGTTCTTTTCTTCCCCGCTCATACCTAACACCGCCATCACAAAAGCAGGGAGGGATCAGAGAGAGAAGGCTGACGTCCTCAACACCATCGACTCTCACAACAACCCTCGATAGATTCATACATCTCGATCCAACCAGCCAGAATTCGCAACATGGCCTCAGAGAAGGAGAAGGAGATCACCCCTGGGCAAGACCACGGCCACCTGCGCTCGGTGGCATCTTTGTTCGCCTACCCTTTCCAAAGTACACGGGTCACCAAAGAGGCACCATCGCCCGCAGACACGAGCGAAGATACCACACCTGAAGAAGGAGCCCAGAAGGGTTTACGAGAAGAAAAGGTTGATGATGATTGGATCCTGCTCACGGAAGGGATGGATGCTGTCGTCGTCTGCGGCACAGCAGCAGCAGCAGCAGCCCGTGACACTCCCGCCGAGCCGACCGGCGCCCCCGAGACGACGAGCCGCGCCGCCCAGCATGTGGCCAAGCAGATTGCGGATTTCCAGGAAAAGCGCCACTACAAGACAGCATCAAAGAAATCAAAGGGCAAGCAACCCGCGACAGTAGCATCATCATCGGCATCGGTACCGCCACCACCACCGCCGCCAGTGGACGGTCCGCGAGCAAGGCTGCCGCCAGAGGACCGCAGAAGGATGGAAATTCTGGAGAAGCTCACCGAGAACAGGCGGAGGGTCCGAGCCGGGGTCCCTCTCGACGATCTGCCTCGCGACACGACCACGACGCGCAGCCACGTCGACTACATGTCGACGACGGAAGCTCCGCCCTCTCAGCCCATGTACTCCGCCGAAGTAAGCTACGCCGCTGGTCCTGCCATGGGCTATGGCGCGTACCCCTCAGGACAGTCTGACGCGTACCTCTTCGACCCGGCACTGTATTGTCGTCCATCAAACTATCCGTCGTCTAATGCCCGAGACCCGAACGAAGGGTTCTCGCCAGTGTACATGTACACTGAGGCGTACAAACGGGATCAAGACACACTGCTGCCGTACGGGCCTGCTGCGGATGAGCCGTCCTCGCATTATCCGTACTATCAGTAGAGAGCGCTCACCTTGATGTGCGAGGGGGACAGACGAGGGCTGATGTTGGGGGATGGGCAGGCTAGGGAGGTGGTTTGGACGCTGGCTGAGCCGACCGACAGCAGGATTTTCGAGTTATACTCGAATAATTTCGCATATCTGCTCAGTTCACTTACTTAATAGAAGCCGTTTCACCGATTCGGGCTCGAATACTTTCAATGTCGACTTTGGCCATTTGACCTTTGCATGCACGCAGCGTATTGTCAGCTTTGAGGCCAACTGCCAAGCACTGACTAGTAACAGTTCCTCGGGGGGGATCACCTCGTATTCCCCCAGATATCGACAGCGGTGATCACTGATCAGGTCCACTCCTCAGGCTACTGTACACCACATGTCAAACATGTGCTGACATCCCTGCATAATAAGCACTTTGATCTACAATTCTACATCGGTCGTCGATCCGAATCGCTGACATGTACATAGTCCCATGCGCTGTCGACAGACATCTTCGTGCGACGGCGACACGCGAGTGAGACATCCGTCCTCCGCGAGACAAGGGCAATGAAGAAAACGGGTCTCACAGGCAAGGGGCAAACTTTGTGGAAGCGAGGAATGCGGTCGCGTTCATGGTTTCATTCAATTGTGTATCTGGCACCCCCCGTATATGGGCGAGCGCAACGCGAACTGACTGACGCCGCGACATACCCACCCGCGTGGGCGTGCGCGCCTCGTCCGATCAACAGATACATGGTACACATTCCTGGGGCTCATGAAGCTGACACATTTCTTTCCTGGTCTTTCCTGCTCCCTCGCCAAACGCCCTGGGTATGTGAAGAAAAAAAGGGTGGCCCTCTCTCCGTAAGAGACAAGCCAATGCATTACTAGTACGTATATCTGAGAAATGCTTGAGATGAAGGAAGAAGATGTGGGATGAGAAGAAAGAATGAAAAGAGCTCTCCGCCGATTGTTTGGTGAGGTACATTCAGATCGTCATGAGGTGGCGAGGTAACCGCTCAGTTGAACATGAGGAGGCCAGCGATGGCGGCGAAGAGAAGGGTGCCAGGGGCGGCGAGGCCAGCGGCGGCGCTGCCACCGTCGGGGATCTCGGTGGGCGAGGCACCGGCGCTCGTCTCGGACTGGGTGGCCTCCTCTGCAGCATTTGTTAGCATGATCCATTCTTCTTGACACGAGGACGGGAGGCACCACATACCAGTGGGGGTAGTCATGTCGCTCGTGGTCGAGGTCTGAGTGACGGTGGTCACGGGGGTGGTGACGGTGGTGACGGCGGCCGAGGTGGACGTGGTGGTCTCCTCCTCGGTGGTGGAGGTCATGGTCGAGGTGGTGAGCGTCTTGACGACCTCGGTGGTCTTGGTGACCACGGTGGAGGTCGGGGCGGCGGCGACACCCTCGTAGTCGAACTGCTCCGAGTAGTTGTCCTCGCCCTGTGCGTCGACGATCTCAAAGGCGTAGGTGCCGGTGGGGAGGTTCTCGGGGGTGAAGGTGAAGGATCCGCCGGTAGCAGAGTCTGGACGCGGGTCAGTTCCCGTCAGTTCGATCTCGTGGGCAGGACGAGCGTACCGGTCAGCTGCTCGACGGTCTTGAGGTCACCGCTGGGGCCGTCCTTGAGGTTGATGGTGCAGCCCTCGTCACAGCCGGTGAACTCGAGGGTGAAGGGCTCGCCCTCTTTGACGTCAAAGGACAGGTTGGTGAATGCGGGCTGGGCGGCAACCACAGCGGCGAGCGAGAGGACGGCAGCAGAGTACTTCATCTTGGCGATTGGTGTTTGTGATGCGTGTTTTGTAACGAGTGTCGGTGGTGAAAGAGCACGAGCTGTGAGATTGGCGTCAGTCAAGGGACCAGGTCAAGGTGAGTGCGCTCTCAGTGGGACGTGACGACTAGAGTCGAAAAGTGAGAAAGTAAACAAGAAAAGAGTGGCGCTCCAGTCTTCGCTTCGACTGATGCTGAGGCACGGGCGAGCCGTCAACAGCCTGAGTGAGACCTCTGAGGCTCCAGTCACTGCCCACAGCTCGTCCAAAGTCCAGTCGAAGACATGGAGTCGCAGTGGCACTGGGGAGCAGCCCCAAGGACGCGAGGGTGTAGCCGAGTAATAGGAAAGATCAGATCAGCGCAACTTACACGAGTAGAGACTGCAGAAATCTATGCACGGAGAGACACGATGGTGAGCGAGTGAAGATGGAGGGCAGTAGAAGAGGGCGAGGGACGGACGGATGGCCCCGTCCAATATATGTATGCCTATCGACGACCGGACAAGGAATGGAGCTGGCTAATCTCCCATCCAAGCCCATAATAATACTCACAGTAGTCCGTGGGTGCATAACCAGGGAAGCCTGCGTAGGTGCGTGCCTTGCCTGCTCCGCCCCCAGATCAGGTGCGTGCATCCATCATCATCAAATGGCTGCTGACTGTCATCGGGTATGCAGCCGTAGGTATGCTAGCAGGGGAAAGTCGACAGGGGGCGCGCTGGGCCCTCATGTCGCCCCGTCGCGCGCGTGGCCAACAGAGTCAGAAGAGTCAGACCAGCATTGAGGTTTCAACAGGACTTTCGCAGTGTGGACTGAATGTGGAGGCTGTCTCTCGGTCTCTCCAGTCGTTGCTGGCCTACAGTAGCCGCCTAGCCGACTAGACTAGACTGACTAGACCAGGGAGGGCATCGAGAACGACGAGAAGACATCGACGGTCGCGACATGGACCTCCCGAAGCGCTCGCTGTGGGTGTCATGCCGTCCCAAACTGGAGATGGCCGACTGGACTCTGGCCAAGCGTGGAGGCCCCTCGCGGCCATTCCAGTCTCGAGGCGCAGCGCCAGTCTGTTGGTCGCCACCTCTTGGCTGCTGCTGCGCTCGCTGCTGCTCCTGGCTTGGCCCAACAGGCCAGGCTTGGACAGTCCGACTAGAATTGATTTTGGCGAGACGAATCAGACGGGGCCCCCTCGGGAACGCTCTCACGTCGCTCCCACTCGGGTCGTTCCATGAGGGAATTTGGGCGCCTAGTACGTACGCATCCGTGATAGTTAGCGCCACTTGTTGACCTCGGTCGGTCGCGTTGGAACTTGGAACTTGAAGAAATGTGGAATGTGGAATGTGCCAGGCATTGGCACATTCAGGCTGTAGCACGTGTTCTATTTCCGAACCCGGTGGAGAGAGAGAGACAACTTCTCTCGCTCCAACAAAGCCTGATGAATCAAGGACCAACAGTTGATGATTCTCCGTGAATCCGTAGCAGTCTAGCAGACCAGTCGCCGGTCACTCTCTTTTGTCTCGAGTCCTCGACAAGGCCTGCGTCTGCGTCTGCATCCATGCCCCTGCAATATGTCCCGCGCCAAGTCGTCCACGCGCCGCCAGCTTCTTCGGTCCGCGACTCCTATGAATGTATGCTGGGCCAGCCAACCGCGCGACAGTCGAGTCACCTCACCGCTCTACGGAGTAATTAGAGCAGCAACTAATCGTACATGCAACGATGTTACGTCGAGCAGGACAAAGAGGCAGGGGGTAATCAAGTCCTTACCTTCCTTAGGTATAGTACGTAGTCAATACAAAAAGTCAAAGTTCAATGGTACCCGGAGCTTGCGTCGCCCACATGCAATGTCGCAGCCCTCACGCGCCTAGTCTGGTTCTAGAACTCCCTGGCTAATGGGAGTACCTATCCACCAGCGGAACATCCCACCAGTTGACAGCGCCAACTTATTTTATAGCACTCGACTCTCTGACTGCGCCTTGTTTACATCGCCAATACAAAGTAAGAAGAAGTCATATTGATCTCTCACTCACGTCGTCTGCGCATGTGCACTTGAAAAGGACGTGCGCTCATTGCAGGTTCCACTTGCGATGAAGCTGAGCCTACAACGTCGCCAAGCTCATGTCTGCTTGGCTCTGCCTCATGTCCTTGTTGTCGGTGCTTTCACGACTTCACGAATCGGGACAGCCAGCTGCATCCTGCCTGCATCTCTACCCCCCTTTTCAGCCAGTCAGCCCTACGAGTATGACCTTCGGCACCTCCAGGCCAGGCTTCAGCTGGCGTTCTCACTGCGTAAGATACGCAGTGTAAGTGGCTTTCGCTCACCTGCCGTAACTTGGGCCAAGCCACATCCGATAGCCTGGCTCTGGCTGGCAGCATCTCCCGACACCTTTCCTTCACAACTTGAACCCAAAGAGCAGATCCTGAATGCTGAATGTACGGATACACCGACCAACATGCGTACGCGAGCCAATGAAATGCTCGCCGAGCCGCCGTCAGTGCCTTGGCCCATGCAGCCCTTTCTGCTCAGTGGGCAGGTCAGTTGCGAGGAAGCACAGTGGGAAAGCTTGCGAATATTGGATAACCATCAATTACGTACAGCCCGGTGACTACCTTGCACGTAAACATAACCCGATGATGCGGATTCCCAGAGTAAACACGATCCTCGAACGTGTCGGGATCGCTCACACGTCATTGCCCTATAACTTTCCATGCTCTACAAATGTGATTTCGCCCATGCTGTCCCAATCTTGAATCATCATCAGCTCCGCCAGCATACGTGCCATGCTCCGACGGCGCAAGTCATTAACAGATAAGTGTCCTGCCACGCAAACACGGAAACAATCGGCATAACAAACAGAAACAAATAAGAGGTATAAGCCGGCTCCCTTTAGTGCTCAAGCAGGCGCAAGCTACCCTGGACAACCACGTTCTCCAGGATTGAGCCGGGCGGGACGTCAATCGTCTGGCCCTCGGTCGCCACGATGATAACGGTGCCCTTGAGCGTCACGCCACGGCCCAGGTTGACCGCACCGGTGATGGTGAGGTGGTCCAGCTCGAGCACCTTGGGGATCGACGGGATGCGCTTCTGGAAATCAGACACCTTCTTGAAGTCGCTGCCGAGCTTGATAAGCGGGGCATCGCCGAATCGAGCGGCGCTCATCTGGAGCTGACCATGCTTAAGCTGGTACAGATCCGACTTGACCAGCATCAGATCCGAGCACGTCTTGACGGGCAGGAAGCGGCGACGCGGCACGTTGACGCCGTGCGCGTTCTTGAAGTGGCGGATGGCCGCGCCGACAGCAGTCTCCAGCTGGATGATGCTAATGTCCGACTCGCCCTTCTTGTCACCGGGGATCGTCTTGCCGTTGGGGATGATCTCCATCTCAAGCTCGTCATTCTCCACAACACGCTTGATGGCCTGGAGGTTCAACCAGATATTGTTGGTGTTGAAGTACTTGAACTTCTTGATCGACTTGAACTCGTTCACGTGCTCCTTGGGGACCTGGGCAATCTCGAGCAGGCGGACAGAGCCCTCGTAGTCGATAATGGTGCCACCCTTGACATCGGCCTTGGTCTTGTTGGTCAACTCCATTATGTACTCGGACTTGGTCTCAACCATGTGCTGGAGGATGCGGAGGTCGACGACGGCGCCCAGGTTGTCCACGTTGGACAGGAAGAGGATCTCGATGCCACGCTCAATAAGCTGGTCGAGGATGCCAGAGTTGTAGAGCGACTCGAAAACGTCACCGTGGCCAGGGGGGTACCACTCGTTGATGGACGAGTCGTTGCTCTTGGGGACTGGCAGAAGCGAGTCCTTGTAGATACGGGGGTAGCGAGACTGGTTGAAGGTGAGAATGTCAACGTTGTGGCCCTCGTACTTCTTGATAATGGCAGCAGTGTCGTCGTTGGTATTGAACGAGTTCATCAGGATGAAAGGCACGTTGACGTCGTAGGTGCGGTTCAGGTACTCAATCTGGCGGACCGACAGGTCGAGGAAGGACATGCCGTCGCGAACCTCGATGACGGACTTGGGGCCGACACAACCCATGGAGGTACCAAGACCACCGTTGAGCTTGAGGACAGCAAGCTTGTTGAGGAACTGCACCGACTCGGTGTTGGCGAGATCCTCATAGTCGACGACTTGGCCCTGGGCGGGCGGGGCGATGCGGTCCCAGTCCCTGCGCATGCGTTAGGACTTGTGCTGCAGCATTTCAGGAGCATATGTCTACTTACACGGCATTGCCCTTAGCCTTGTCGTTCAAGTAGCGGCGGAACAGGGCGAAGAAGTTGTCCATCTCGGTCTCAAAGAGCTTCTTCTGCGCGGGGTCGGTGACGGTCTCCGCGAGGTTGGTCAGCGAGTTGCGCATCTGCGCAGCAGCCACGTTCGTGGAGGTGTTCTCGAAAGCCTGTCCGGAGCAGGTTAGCGGCTGGTTTTGACTGATCGCACTAGATTCGGGCATGATGGCGTCTTTCGCGAACACGAGATGGGGGAAGGAAAACAAATGGCGAGTATGTCAGGGTCTTGACCGTCGAACCAGAGGGGAGTTTCAACAATGTGGTTCAGCTTTGGGAAAGGTCCTCCAGCGATGACTGGTGACTCGCGCTTGACTCCAGGTCGCGGGCTACCACAGGTGAACTGCTGCGTTTGTGCGGGACTGTCCCTTGTTGCCCAGCGCCACCTTGCTCAGAGCTGACGATGGTGTAGTTATGTTCCTTGGAAGAGCGAACAAGACCCCAACGCCAAACAGGGCTTTTGGTCGGACATGTAGCACGCCAGATATCGATGAGTCCATAGTCCTCGCACAGCCGGTGCTGGCTGCCACCGTTTGGGGGCGTGGGTGGTACAGCGTCCTGAGGGGTAGGGGACCCCGTCGCGGAGAGGAGAGGGATTAGGGAGTGTGTGGGAAAAGGCCTTACCATGTGGCTGCGAGTCTTTCCGTGGTGCCTCTCGCCATTGTCCTGGCTTTCCTGGTTGTCGTCAGGCTTGAGGCGCGAGGGGAGAGCGCTCTTGATAGCGGAGGCCATGTTGATGAGCTAACAAGAAGAGCTGCGTGTTTGTTCTTGGTAGATATGGGGGCACCGTTTGGTCGGATCGATTCGAGTTACGAACGGTTCGACGAAGCTCGAGAGTCGGCGGGAAAAGTCGAGAAGAGATGAATATGGGAGGAAGAGAAGGAGGAGGAGAGAAGAAGAGGCAGGCTGTGATATGATGCGGGATCGAGGCAGAGCGGGGCAGAAATAAGGAGCTCCTGCGCAGTTCCAATGTCGGTCAATCGAAACCCGGGAAAGAGAGGTCTGGGCTGTAATTAGCACCTATTAACTCTACGGGTGATTGCGGTATTACCGGTAGCGGGCTCCAGTCCCTCCTCCAACAGTTCAGTCCAGCCGTATTCACGTCTTGAGTGAGGATCGTCGAGTTTTTGATCCGGAGCAATTACTATCAGCAATGCCCTCACTGCTGTTGCATTGACGTCAGGTCGACAACACCAAAGGACCAAGTAGTCCGGCTCTGATGAGGTTTTTGATCAACGTAAAATCATGTCCATGATAGCCTAGCTCCCTGTGTCTGTTCATATTACTATCATTATTGTGCAAGGCTCCATGTTGGACATCTGCTGGACTGGACTTTTAGCAGGGCCGCAAAATTCCCCTCCAGTTCCAGCCATGTCCAGTCCCCCACCATCCAACAGCAATCACCACCGCCGCCACTACGATACAACCACGACCAACCATGGACGCAGATTCGAATGGCGAGCTGCATCTCAACACGCCGTGGCGCCTTTGCCACGGCGGTTTCCTGACACAATTTGCTGTTGAGGGGCCTGGACCGGAGCACTATCAAGCGATCGCCCATAATTACTCCATAATGGGGGCCCCAATGCCCGACATTTGCATCCTGGAGGCTGGAGGTGCTCTGGAGGAGCTTGGAGGTGTCCCCAAAGTTATGCACGTCGGCCTTGTCCGACAGCGTTTTTTTTTCCTCACTCTCTCCTCTGGTTTGTTGGATGCAACGTTTGAATTTTCTCTCTCTCTTTAGCCACAGCTCTACTTTTCAGGGTCTCGTATCTCAGATGGTAGCTTGCCACCCCTATTGATTCCGAAAACATCCGCGCTAGTTGTCGCTTCCTGGTCTCGGTGTCGATATTGGCGGAGCGCAATCACAGCTCCTTGTCGCGTACGAGTAATAATGAGCAGGACTTTCACATTTACCCACTGTCAGCGTTGAGAACAGTTCCGCCCCGGGGAGCTACTCGCTGGGCCCGGTCGCTGCACGTGGGGGCGCCAGTGGCATCCATGTCTCAAAGCTGTTAACAGCTACAAAGCCAGTCGCATCAACCAGAACAGAGGACCGCACTCAATTGGGCTGGAGGACAGGAAAAAGGTTGGCATAGTAAAAGCCTCCGTCTTTTGCTTCGAATGGCACTATTTCTAGATGGCTGCTAATTATCCAATGAGGCCTTGGTGGTGTCACCAGGATACCACAGTACTGGACTGCACTAACAGTCCCTCGCCAGCCAGCCTTACGGCTGAGACTGCCACGCTGCAAGGCTGCCAGAAGTTGTCAACGACTGCATGCGTCCGGCTCGTATCAGCACCGCGTAGCTTCAAGTGAATGGACACCGCTTTCAGAACGACCGCGAACATCGGTGACCGGGCTCATCCTGATGTTGACCGTTGTTGTAGCATTTGCTCCTCACCCCAGTACTGCGAACAAGCGGTCTGCTGACCGACCAGCTCCACTAAATGGGCTCTGCTGGCTCAGGTGCTGCTCATCAGGCGTCTGTTTCTTGACCGACTCTCGCGATAGCTTCACGTTCCCTTTGTGTGACTGGCATCAAACTACAGCCTTCCGAGACTAACACTGCTTTGCCGAGCTTGCCGAATAGCCCGGATATCGTGCCCCCAGACTCCCACAGAAGCTCAACGTCTTGTTCACAAAACCATCACCATCATGGGCAGCTGCGAGTCACCCGCATTTTGGAATGTCAATATCCCGCCTGAGCAGCATACATTCTCGTGTCCAGAGTACCTCCGACACCTGACGCCCAAGGACGTTGGCATCATTGCAACGCCAGATTCCGAGTACACTGCGCAATCTTGGGACGAAGTCCGGCAAATTGTGGCCACGAACAGTCTGGAAAGCTTCAAACGGGTACCATCAGATCTTCGACGATACAGGTCATTCGTATATCGCCTCGTGCAAGACTACGGGAGCGTGCACGCTTTCCTGTTGAAAGAGAGATTACGATGGGAGGAACCAGTCAAGCCACGCGGGGCACCTTTCGAGCTCGAAGACGACTACAAGATCCTCTTCAATGACTGGCCTTATGGCGTTGACAAGAGGATAGTTCACTTGGTAGTCTGGACAAAGTTTTCCCTGGCAGAGGATCCGAAGACTGGCGATCTGACGGATCAGGCCCGAAGAGACACAGAGGCTTTCATGGAGAAAGTTTTCTATGAGAATGTGCCCCGAGAAAGGGTCATTTGGTTCAAGAACTGGGCGGCGCTCAAGTCTGTCAATGCCGTTGAGCATTTTCATGTCATGATGTACGATCCAGATCCGTGCTTTGTGCAGAGGGTGACGCAAGGCGATGTTCCGCAGTGTCTCAGAGAGGCTCACTGAGCTTGTGTATTCCTTGCGATGGCATCTGCATTTGTATAGCAAGATAGATTGGATCCAGAATTAGCAAGCTGGACGCGCGAAGTCCGCTCGCACTCACCCGCTCACAACGTCCGCTGTGTCAATGCTCAGCTCTACACATGGACAGTCAGCCAAAGGCACCGCGACCGGCTTTTCAAGCGCAATTATCAGTCTCCATCCCTCTTTGCCAGGTGTCGTATACGTCTTCGTCAAGTATTGGGTTAGCTCGACACTGAGCTTCGCCGCCAGCGCTTCAAGCGTCTCAAACGAAGAGTCTTTCATCGTCTTTCATACATCGTTAGCTTGGGACAGATATGGAGACTTTGATCTATTACCTTTGTGATGAGTCTTTCAATGGTATGATACCCGTCCTGAATCTCAGTCCACTTCTCAATCGCTACGTTGGCGACCACCATCTGCTCTGCTTCCCTCTCGTTGCTGTTGACTCCTATCAAAGTCGGCACGCGCAGATCATGAAACTTCAGCGTGACAGATCGTATAGCGTCGCCGGCTGGATAAGCCACGGTGCCAGTGAGGCTGACGCCGGACCCCAACAACGTCCCTTTCGGTAGGAGGATTTCCAGCTTGAAGAGCCGCACCGTTGTCGGCTTGAGATAGCTCACCACTCCGGCGGACGAGGCTTCCAACAAACCACGGCCAGTTATGCCCTCGCAAAGTGCTTGGAGCACCGCGCCGAGTGACTTGCCTTCATGTTCCAGCAGTCTCTTGCTCAGTTCCTTGCTCAGAAGGCCATAGTGAACAGTATCACCTTCTTGAACCGTGTCGCCGCCGGCTGACGCTGTGAATGGCCGGCTCAAGGACACTTCTGCGGAAAGTGTCACTGGCTGGGGGCGGGAGGCTCGACCCCATGCGTCTGAAGGTCCGGTGAAGCTAGTCGTCGTGAGGTTCTTGAGGGTGATGGTGGAGACCGGTTCGCCCGCGGCGTGCCTTGTTTGCCAGGAGGTGACCAGGGGACATAGGCCTTCCATTGTTTGATTCCGAGCGCCCAGAAATACAACGATAAGTTGGCCAGAACTGATGACGTGAGTACAGATGAAGCTTCACGACATTGTGCAACATTTGCTGATTCACGCCCCAGGGCAGCAAGGTGGGGGGGTATGGCGGCTTACCCTAGAGTATGCCCAGTGTCACCTGAGCGAGTCGACCTCAAAGCCCATCGGCGCGAATTTGGTTGAAAGACCTAATACTTTAGGATTCGGATGTACTTCTTTTACCTTTCATCTACGAGGCTCGAACAGTTACCAACTCAAAGGGCGAATTTTGTTGCCGTGTAGCTGTTGCGTTTGGCCCAAGCCACATAACAATATTCAAGTCGTTACAGATGAGGATGGCTAACTGTGAAAAGAATGACGTGCATTCAAGGACAAGCCTTTCACATGCCATGACCCAAGGCCAAAGTTAGATCCATTCTTATTCATGAGTTGAAAGTTGACACCTTTCAATGAATCCCCAAAGCCGGCTCAAGCGAGTCCGGGAACAGACACCAAGGGCATTCACGGACGAAAGGAAGCCATCCCGTGCCCCGGGAAGCCTAGCACATATCAACTATAGGCAAGGTAATTTTCTGGACTTAACAATATGTCTCGAACATGGAAAGCGGTGAGGACAGGAGTGAATTAGGCACTGGTCGTTGCTACTCCGAGCCCCTGAGCATCACAGACAGTCGACGCATGTCCTTGTCTGCATCACAGGCAGTTCGTCTGATTCTGCTGGGGAGAGGTGTGCGAATTGCCTTTGAGCACCTAAACATGATCCTGCGGCATAATTTGGATAATTGAGCAGCTACAAGCGATGACCAGGCACCAGTGACACATTAGCCTGGTGGGAGATGGGCGCCACGATTATGATCAAATATGGACAACTATAATATATGTGCAGATGCGCACTAAGAAAGACACGTTTGCTACTTGAAAGAAGGGGCCTTCAAATCTCAAGATGAACGCAATGTCCGTTCGCAAGACTGCAGCTCAATATGTCAAGGGACATGTAATTATCGTAGACATTTTTACAACTACGCCCATTGAACTTACATGTAATTGCAATTGACAATTTCCACAAAGATTAGATATCCAAGCTGTGGTAGCATGTCATATTTTGTGCCCACGAACCAAAAGATCAGCTCCTCTCGCGCGATATACCTTATTTAAGAAACCCACGCGAGATGCTCGAGCTGCGTTCATGTGGCCGTACCAGCTTCTGCCGGAGCTTCGCACGCTTCGGAGGCAGCGCCCAGCAAATCTACTCGTACAAGTTGCGCTGTCTTCATTAATTTCTCCTCTAATTCACTTTGAATACTCATCACAGCGAAGTTCAAGTCGAATGTTGGTGGATGACACAGATGCCCTACCTGTCAATCAGGCACACGCGTCGTCAATGCGCGTATCATTCACACTCGGTCCGTTAGGCGGGTCGACAAGCATCAGCTCGGCCTCCATGTCAAGTTTGGGATACCTCCGCATTCTGGCTGAATCCAATTTCATGTGGCACGGAAGAAGAGAACGGAAGAAAAGAACACGGGCAGCGTGCCGCGAACCGTCCGACCGGCCAACAGCTGCACAGTCGCATCTCCCTTGTCACCATTGAATATTTTCGTGACTGAGACAATCATCAACCTTGCGGCCGGCGCTTTGTGCATGCATCACACTCTCGTCGTTCGATTTGTCACAGTCGCGTAATAATAGCAGGCAAGAAGTATCCAACCCTGGGGCAGGACGAGCGACAAGCAGAGAAAGCATGGCCTGGCGTCTGCGTGCTGATGGTTCATAGTTGTGTCCATCACGTCGTCGGCACGCTGGACCTGCAGTAGCGCCATGTGTGGCGCTGGAAGCACGTTGAACCGACGATTCTTCGGTGCGGTACGTAGCGAACATGAACGCAGACAGCACAAAACCCAGGAATCTGGCTGTTCTAGAAGACTGATGAGAAGAAGATTGCCTGTCTGCACTGCTGCAGCGGAATGGGCGAGCCGATGTCCCTTGGGCTTTTTGGACCTAAGCCTTCGGCACAGAAGTCCTCGAGACCCTGTCCGCCAGGACATGAACACCCCCCTCCTTCAACTCTGGTCCATTTCCATCTACGGTCATATGTCCGGCACAGGTGCCTATAGCACTTTACACAAGGCCCTCGCGACGACTGCAGACGATCCGGCTCGGGCATTTAAAAATGATAGGTGACAATTCCAAATACAGAGGCTAACCATGTGCTGTTAAGCACTGTTTCTCCAGATGTGACTGCAGTGACTGCACGTACATACATGTATGATGTACGTTTGAACCCTCCTCAGGTCTCGTCGTGACCAGGGTTCATTGCACGTCTGCTGTTGCATTCTGACACGACCAAGAATTCGCCTGCGTTCTCACGTACTATTCCGTTGGGGCTGGCCAACGCAGCATGGGCACGCATGAACTGCTGGAGCATCTTCGGTGCATTGTAGGGTAGGATCCATCCTCCTCGCCTCCGGCAATAACGTAGTGTGCATCCGTACGAACAAAGTGACAAGTCCACTGTTGCGGATAATGGGAGGAACATCTTATCACTTTGATCGCCATCCAGACCATCCCAGCGATCACCGACCACCCATTTGATCGTGATCCACAGTCCTCAATCGCCAGAAGGACGACGTGTGTCGTATTAGCCTGCCTCTTCCAGGTGCTGGCTGATGAGTGCAGTCGTTGTCGTATATTCGTGTTGTCATGCGCAGTGCATGTTCCAGTTGGAGCTCTGGATGAGCTCCGTCTACTGAAGACGAGCCTGCATATGCGAATTCGCTAAGCGATACATCGCGCCATCACCAGCTCACCATCTTCGTTTTCCTGTTCTTGATCGTATAAGTAGGCAGTAATAATAAATATTCATCCGCCGTCCAGTGCTCGGTCGAGGTGTCGGGTGTCTGGTGGTGAAACCTCGCCGACTGAGCCCGGCGGCCAGGGACATGGGTCTTGGGGCTCCACACACTCACGCAGGGGCTTCTTTAGTCTGACATCTTGGCATCAACAAGGGATCCACGGAACTGGCTGTTGCGAACTTTCGAAACCGCGCTCTCCTGTCTGCGTCAGTGCGACTGTGCGTCTCGAACGAGTTCCTCGCTGAGTGTAGCACAGAGATTGGCGTCGGCGATCTGGGGGACCGGAAATATTGATGGGGGTTTCCGGGCTGGGCAGAACTAGCAATGCACTCAAGGGCGGAGAGGTTGGTAAATTGGTCAAGCCAACAACACGGCTCGGTGATTGTGGGTAAACGGATGCTTTGCAGATATTTCTTGTCCATGTGAAAAAGGCCCAAATGTTGCTGGGTTGCTGCTGCCTTCGACATGCGGGGGCGGGGAAGTTCAATAAGTTCTCAAGACACCTTGCCAGATTGGGTAGTTGAGACTCGAGAGGCTATCATAATGATTAGAAACTGTAGATCTTCGTTGGTGTCGGAGTATTGGAGACTGGGCGATGCGTCGCGGTCATGATCATGACGCGCACCTTGGGACAAATTTTCAGCCTCGTGGCCTGGTTGTGTCTGAGGCTCAAGCGTCAGTTACAAAGCGGTGCATAGAAGGGACAGCGCGATCCCACGTTGCAGCGCAGCTCGGAACCGTGTCTAATGATTATCAAATGGCTTCTGAAGCCAACATGGGCCGGGAGGCAACCTTTGCGACTGGCGGGCCGTTCTGTATCCGTATTGGAGCTGGAAGCGCATTTCGCGAACAAACTAGCCAGGCACAACCCCAGGCATTCGGAAGCCTGCGTGAGCGCAGCCTCGGCCCAGGCCGTCGATGGCAGACAGAGAGTGATGCTTCCAGCTCTCAAGTGTTGTAGGCTTCCGCCTTAGCCTTTAGCAGGTAATTAACTGCATCTCGCAAGCCATGTTTGTAGGGGTCGACATTAGCGATGCTATCCCCAGTCCCAAACCATCAAGTCGAAAGCATCGCAGTTCACAGCCCCGGCCCTGGACGTTGTTTCTTCGGAAGCGGGGATGATCGCCCTGGGCAACTGGGGCACGGATCCCCTGGAGCCAAAGCGTCGTGAAAGTGATGAATCCAGACCAAGTTCGTGGTTGTTGGTGGGACGATCATGAATTCATTGGCATTTTGCGCGCTGTCCTGCGACTGATATCGTGCACCGTCATCATCAATCGACATGGCACGAATATGTACGTTGGCTGACGATAGGTGCTGAAGTGTAGAAAGGCTTGCTGATTGTCAGCTGTGATAATGACACACCATCCCCACAACAGTCAGGGGCATGTATGGGAAAGACGCACAGGGCCCAGCAGACCACTCACGGACACGGCACACGCTTTGAGTATTTGAGAGGTCGATGAGCAAATTCAGCACTCAAGCTTGTGATGCCGTCACTGGTCACAATGGCGTTTAGTGAGATTGCGCTCCTTTCGAAGACGACGGTGGGCGCACAATCAAGAACGCAGAGGTCGACGGCAAAAACGCACAGATGTGAATCGAGCCCTTCGGCGGCACAGTGAAGGGTCTGGCTTCCAATCGGAAGTGTCACCAGCATACCAAGCTCTCCGTTGCATGATGGCTGCTGGCCGGTAGGTGAAAATTAGGTAGAAAAGTGTGGCGTGCTGCATGGCCGCAGGTGAGCTTCATGCTTGAAAGCACAAACCGTGCTCATTGGCGGGCACGTCTGTGCAATGTCGTACGCCTTGGTGACAGCAGTCGCTTGTGCAGTGTGACATTGTCGAATCAACTTGTCGAGACGCGAGTGATCAAGGCCGCGTGAGCCTGTGCGTGGCAGATAATACTGTTGACGGTAGCTGAGCCTTCTTCATCTCTCAGTATGACAGTACCTAATTATCCTACCTTATCCATAGCATTCATCGGCTCAGAGTGACAGACATGCAGGGGTGGTGAGCCGGCGCGCGATAGGGCGGGTGTGTCGCGGCACCTGCGAGTCTCAGGGCCACATGTTGCTTCAAAGATCGTTGTCGAGTCATCATTCAGTTCTTGGTGACTTTGTGGGGTCTGCCAATGCGAGCCAACCGGCGACTAGCACAGAGCACAAGCGTTAGCCTTGACTGAAATCCAAGTCGTCGCCGTGCGAGTCGATCTTGGTAAGAAAACCGCGGCTAAGAAGATTAGTGCCGGTAGTTCCCATCATGCAAGTCGAGAT